TTTATCGTCAGTCATTAATTTAATAAATGAATGCAAAGAAGTCTTTTGTTTCATATTCGTGAAACGAAAACTTGGAGGTGAGAAGTGGCGCACGACCAATGTCCTCTCACGCGAGCAAAAGGGGGAAAGGTAATGCGCGCGAGGGCAATCCCGACGGGACAGAGAAGTTTTACGCGGGGATTATCAGGAAGCGAAGCGAACGCCCATGAATACGGAGATCCTCCGATAAAAGGACGAAAAAAGAGACGACGGCGGTGGAGCTGAAAGGAAAAAGACGGGACAGCACGCGAGTGGAGAAACAAAGAGAAAGAAAGAGAGAAAGAGAGCTGGGAAAGCGTTGGTAACCCAGTGCCGCCAGGAGAGTGCCAGAGCAATGTAGTCGACCACGAATGAGCGTACCAACGGATGGAGAGGCAACACTTTGTAGTTTTAATCGATCCGGTGGGACGGGGGAGAAAGACGAAGCACCCTAGCACGGGGGATGAGTCGGCGGCGTGTGGAGAAAGAGCGAGGGAGATCGTCGGAAGGCGGGAAAAGGATGGACACGTTCGCAGGAAGTGGGACGAGTGTCGCTGATACGGTACGAGCGAGAGGGACGTCTGCGGGAAAGCGGGAAAGCGGGATAGAAGGAACAGGGCGAGAGAGTAGAGACCCACATCCTGCCGACTCCTACAACTTCAACCACCAGCTGGCTACACTCCTGCCTCCACGGGGACGAGTTATATGTGAAAAGCACGTGGACCTTTGGGTGGAAGAAGGACGGCTGTATTCATTCATTTCCTCGTATATTTCGTGTAAGAGACTTTCCCTTCTTCTACGTCGATGCTCGACGCAGGTCGACGTACACGCTCGTCGGGGAAAAAAGGATGAGCGCGATACACGCGTTGAATTTCATTGACCCTCGTGATAATGTCACTCTACATCTGTATATTAATGGTTTCGCTCTTATAAAGTTCTTTCAGTGAGATTTCTTAAAATAAAAAAGATTAAAAAAAGGATTAAAAGAGTGGGATTATTTAAGATTATGACTTGGCTAAATATTGTAGTAGGTTAAATAAATTTTTGCTAACTCTAACATTTCTCCATATTTAATTTTAAAATATCTTGATTTTATGTTACAACGTCTCTTGATGTCATATCGCGTTATTGCTTCTTCTTTATTTCATTTGACTGTTAAATCTTGATTGCATTTTTACCGTTTGATTCATTTAGATATAAATTTGTATTTTTTTTTTACTCATATTTTTTAAGAACTTATATTCATACAAAGAACGAAATTCACTCAGTAAGACATTCAATAATTATTGCGGATGACTAATATTTCCATCATAGAATCAGAGATATACCATTTTTGTCGATCATGAACCATAAAACATATGGACTTTTAAATAGGATACAGCAATTTTATGTTACAATAGTTTTTTATTTTCATATTTCATTTATTATAATATTGTACGCATAACGATTAATTCAATTTTAATATTGATAATGATTCGATCGGTATCGAAACGTCTGTAGTGTTTTTTTAAGATTAAAGTTATTGTTTCGGTTCATAGTTCTTCTTGTCTATTATTGTTAATTAAAATATCTTGTTTTACACACACACACACACACACACACACACACACGCACGCACGCACGCACGCACGCACGCACGCACACACACACATACAAGACTTCAAATACTATATTTATTATCATTAATCTAATGATAGTTTAAAAAATAGCAAATATGATTGTTCATTGTATTAGTTATAGAGAAATATATATAAATAACTCGCGTTATTTATTTTGACAATATTCAAATTTTTAAACTGATACCTCTTTATCACCATGACTATACGACAAGTAGATTAATTAATGTTTTTATTCCAGCGGATTGTAATTTATTGAGCAAATGAATTGGAAGTTTGCCATTAGATTTTTTAAGAACATGACTAATTCCGTGTATTTTATATTGTGTATGATACAGGAAGAAACCAATTTTTAAATATATTAGATAACTATTTAGGATTTTATTAAAAAGAGGCATTAGAATTTATTAATAGGAACTGCACTCTAAATTTTTTGGAGTGAAATTTTACTTCCGAAGAGTGATAGTTGTGCTAGTCCGGCAGGAGTGAAATTTTCACTCTTAGGGAATGAAAATTCATTCCAAGTCAGAGTCCATTTTCAATCTCTGCGAAAAGTGAATAATTTCACTTTTCGAAAGAAAAGACTGAAGGTAAATGTTAAATTTAAACCCCTTTACATCCAATCTTGACAAAATTAAGTTCTTTCGACGTATTTTTGCACCAAACGAATGAATTTGGCAGAAAAAATGTCTTGTGAAGTGAGATATTAATCACTAAAGTTGAACTTTTAGGAAATTCTCTCTCTGAAGAAGCGAAGTGAGATTCACTCTTGCCGGACTGGCGCAACTTATCATTTTTCTTGGAGTGAAATTTCATTCTCAAAAATTTAGAGTGTACGAAAGAAATTTTAAGATAAAAAATAAATCAATATTTAAACCAACGGGTCATTCGAATCGTGTCTAAGGTTCGAATCATGCCGGAATATGATCAGGGTCGACGTCAGAGAAATGAGGGGAGAGCATTAAAACACTGAGGGTGTGGACGGTGTCAGTGACGTCGGCGAGGGCGGCATATAGGCAGGAAAGGGGTAAAATTCTATCTTAATAAACGCACCCTTCCAGCTCGTGCAGCGTGTAACTTCCATTCGTACGCCTACAGTTTTGTACGCGTCGGAATGGATTTGTAATCAAATCATGTCGAGTGATTTCGCTCTGATTTGGAATTAAGAACAGAACTAGAATTTATAACGGAACTAGAATTTTGATATTGAAGTCGTACGCAACGGGCAAAATAAATCAGAATTAGTTGTAGAAAGTTGTAGAAATTATGATCCTTTCGTGTGTCACTAAAAATGCAAGTCTTTCAAACGCATTATATTTTTCATAATAGTAGTTTCGCAATATACGTAATCTACTTAGATAGTTTATAAAAACTCTTAATATAATGATGCGATATTAAAATATTCATTAGTGTTAAAATTTTACTGAGATATTTGCAAATTATTTATATTTTATAACAGATGTAATTTTTTTAGATAAATTAAAAGTAGCATTAAAGAATGCGCATTTCACATAGACATATTTTACTGAAATTTTACTGTTTCATTGAAAACAGTGTACTTAATATAAAACTCTCATATTAAGTCGTTAAAACGTCACTAAAACTTCATAGCTCATGATGCCCTTCTGGTTATGTCGTCGGAGGGTTGAATGCGCAAGAATATCATGTTCTGACGCACCTGTAATTGTCTATAAAAGTTAATAACAAGTGAATCTAATCATATTAATAGAGATATTCGGTTTATCTGAAGTAATTCAAACTTCGTAATTACGTGACAGGAATTAATGTAGAAATGAATTGCCATTTCTGCGATACGCACCTATCACCTGTTAGGTTTCTGTCACAATCTCATGAGCACTCTTATTCATTGAAGACAATGATTGAAATGAGACAGTCGTCATCAAGATGAAGGTTATATTAATTTTCATAACAATTAAGATATATATAAAATATATTTCAATAAGATCACAAATATATCCAGGAAGGAGAAGTTTCAGGATTCATCCTCCCTTCCCCTAATTTATGATTAAAAGTTATGATTGATAAAGGCCGATGTTTTTCCCAATCAAAAGTATGAGTAAGAAAAAGACATTTTAAGCTCTAAAATATCCAAAAAAACAATTCATTAACTCAAAAATTGTTGTTTATGTGCTAACAGAATTGATAACCCTCTCCCGAAAAAAATCCTGAACACCCCTATGAATAAGAAGTCATCATGACAAATACTTGTCATCACATTGCTATCATTACGATTATGCACCTATTGCGTCCAATACCCACGAGAAAAGAAGAAAAAAATTAGGTTTCATCTTTAATGTCCTTTTAATCAAACTGAGCGTATTTTGTCCTCAAATTAAGCCATTTTATTTATTAAAATGTCAAGAAATCTACGAATACAAAACGATACGCGTAACGTTTCTTTCATACAATTCTCAATGATTTGATTTAAATACAGTTGAGAAATATTCTTATTTTATGAAGACATTAATGAAAAGATCTTCATTGATTGAAGATGTTATTATTATATATATCTAGAATGGAAATGCCTTATTTTTACAGAAACTTTGATGTCTTTGAAATTTATGTACATAATAGATTATACATTGTAAGGAAAACTTTTAACTTATTCTTAAATTTATATATTTTCCTTATAAATGGTTTCATTAGTTTGATTAGCGAATATCTATGTACAGATACTTTTTTATTTCCTTTTTTATTTATTAAATGTTACCAATAATAAACAGTGATAAAAATATAATATTTTTATAGTCAAAAGCGAATCTATTTAATTTGTTCTTACAACGATGTCGCTAACAAAACGTTCTCCAATGATACCAGCGATCTTCTTACCAAGTTTCTAGACAGCACTTAACCGGAGTATTTCTCAATTTTACCGATTAGTTCTACTATACCTACGTGCCGATCATCTTCTTTCCTCTCTCAGCAGACTCTCTGGGAGTCCGTATCAGTCCTCGGTGCCGATCGCTCCTCCCGGGTATCCCCGCCGGCGAACTCACCAGCCCCGTCGGGCTGATTTGCATCACGGTTACGAGCTCGTTCGAGCTCGTGGTGGTTATATTACAGAGCGAGCGAGATGCGAACATGCTGGAAAAACAGAGACGGACAGAGGTACCTCTCGCGGCTGTACCACCCCCAAAGTGCATCGCGGGAGGCAGCTCGGACACTCATAACAATCATAACAACGGGATCTCGCGAGTAACTCGCGGACCACCTCCGCGCATCGGTACCGCCCATTGTACCGCCTCCATTACCCCTTCTACGGGAACTATTCACCGGGCGGGAGAGTCGTCACGGCGGGCTGTTCTTCCCTCGGTTGTACGCCGGGGCCACTACGCAGCCAGACTGCGGACCGTCAGGGTTCAGGTCCGAGTTTTCGCGTCGAGCTCCAATCGTGCAACGTGCACGACCACGCTGCCAAGCAAGGACAACACGAAGAGGAGTGAATCGACTGCCTACTCCGAGACCCTGAACCCACGTGAGATCTGGATCATCGTTCACAGTGCCGATTGAGGAAGAATTTTATTTGGGAAAACTCGAGCTAATCGCTAGAGAAGGAGTCAGATAGAACATCGAACGATCGACACTTCCCTCGCGAGGAATCAACGCGAAGGATCATCGTCCGCGACGTGTTGGTGAAAAGCTAGTGTTCGTGGATCAGAGAGTGATCAGGAAGTTTAACTTGCAGCTGCGTGCGCCGATTTGTCCGGCCTATCAGCACGTGGCCGCAGGGGTGGGACTTCTTTCGGTGCGCCTCGCGGGTTAGTTAAGCGCGGTGAACAGTTGACTCTGTGACAGTTGACCAGTGAAACGTGTCGGGAAGACTCTATTGACAGTTGCGTCGCAGCCTCACCATTTTATCTATTTAAATCACTGTGGCCGTGACAATCGCTGCAATTTGCTTCGCGTTTCGAACATAAATTAGGAGTAAATGCGTGGAAACGTTAAATCGCGACAAGTGCGCAGAATAGGTGAAACGAAATTAATTAAACGACGATTAAAGCGTTCGACGATATTGACGTGTGTCAAGACCGATTTATCGGCTCCGAGAAAAAATCTCGGATAGAATATATGCTACATAGTTGAACAAAAGAAAGCGATGAAACGAGGACTATGGTTCTAATAAGCTTCTAATTATCACGACAGGTGCGCTGATAATTACGACGCGCGCGTGATCATCACGTGGACACGTCAGTGTTTTTCAACGCAAAATTACACGTTACGGACGAAGTGTATGGCTTGACGAGCGCAAATAGAATAATTAAAAGCACATTACACAGAAAATCGTGTTATCTGTTAGTTATCTGTCCGGTGACGCGTCGGAGCATCCCGTGTCAAGGATTGAACTGAAAATATTTTTTTTTCCAAAACGTTTTAATCATCCAGAAAACAGTTAAAAAGTCAAAAGTTTTCAAAATATTTATCGTCTTCCGAGTTTCTTTTAATTACGAATATCGCCTTAGGCAGACACGAGACGAAAAGGGATCAATCGAGCAGTGTTTTATGAAGCAGCGAGCAATTAACTGTTTGCTTCTTGATCACTCCTAATTACTCGTAATTACTCGTTGTAATTAAGTAGGCTGATGTCACCGGCGGCCGATGTATCAGTGAATCGTCCGTTTCTCGACGTCGATCCGCCACTCCTTTCAGAACGGCCTGTTAATATTCGTCGTAAGAAAATTATCGGAAGATCGTGAAACTTGCGAACGAGGAGGCGGCAGAAGAAGGATCTCTCAGGAAAGGAATTAAAACGGGTCAGCGGGGTGTAAACCCGGCATCGGAGAAGGAACGAGGGCAAGACAGACAGACGGCTGATCGGTGAAGATCGGTACGACCGCGACGGAATTGCACCGTGGCGGAGATAAATAACAACCGCTAAATAAATCCGCGTCAGGACGACGTCCCAAATACATCAGTCACAGATCGCCTCAGGTGAGTGTCAGGCACGAGTTCGCTCCTGCTTATTATAAACCCAGGCTAATCTCGGTAATTAGACGGGTCTTCTAAATGCGCGCCGGTCGGCTGCACGTGTGTAGTCTCTCACATTCGCACACCGATTAGCCGCGTACACGGACGCGCCTGCGCATGTATCACATGCACGCGCGTGTAAGCGCGTTTAGATCGACCTCGGGAAAACAGACATGGGAATGGAAATTAATTAATTTCACATTTTACGTATTTCATGTCGTAACTTTGAGAGACAATTAAAAAGCAATCGGATACAATCTTTTCAAAACGAATCTTCCCATTACGCTTGTTAATGTTTAATGTTAGTACATTAAATTTAATATTAATAAATACCGAACAAATGTTAAGATTACAATCATATTAAGATTTAGAACGATTAGTAAAAATAAATGAGGGAGAAGTCAGTTCTGAGATCTATCTGTCCATTTCCATATCGAGCGCATATCCACATGCGGCAATTGCGTGCTTCGTGAGCGGTACTCGTTGGCTCGATATCATTAAGTTAATCTCGGTAATTAAGGAAGTTCCTCTCCCAAAGCTTGGTCACGCGGGAATTCTCCTGGCAGGGGATCGAAAACAGCGTTTCGTTCTCTATATGCTTCACTTCAACTCGGTGATAATTTCATCCAGATACTTAGCTACGTACTAATAATTAGCGCGATAATTATGCGCGCCCGCGTATACTCGCGTCTACGTCGAGTGTGTGACCTGGAAATGCTAATTAAGGGATCGGCTGAGCATGTAAACGTAATACGGTCGGATAGGATTTTCTTAGTCTTTACTGTCTTTTGTGAAGAAATGCGGAGAAATATCACGTGGATATTATATCAGATAAGAGTCATAGTACAAGTAATTATCAATGATTAACAGGAATGTGATATAAACTATTTTTAAGATATTTTATATAATATTTATCACTTATTCTGAGTGCATTTAATTACTAAAATGCTAATAGTAAAAAAAAGTTAAATTTTATTTATAATTCGAGAGAAGAAATAATTTTATTTTAAGAGGAATATATAATAGAATTCAGAATTATTTGGCTAATTAATAAATAATTTCTTGAGATTTCTGACGAAGAAACTTATTGTTTCTTTTTATATACTGAAAAGTTAGTAACGTTTCGTAAAAGAAATAATATTGATTTTGAAAGACAGATATATATATATATATATATATATATATATATATATATCTACATTTACTTTGCAATCTATATATTTTATTTTTTATATTGCGTGATGGGACAATCGTCGACGAAATAATTGATTCTACTACATATATAAATTGTATGAGAAATAATGCTATTTAACGATAATCCGAGTATAACATTGCATCAAGTATACTAAATTAAGTAATAGAAGTTTGCTCAAAATAAAAGCCAATAACTGATCTGTAAATGATTCATAAGTAATGAGATTACACACTACTGAATTTTTAATATGTCCCCATTATTTATATATATCTACGTTACCATTTCATTCTTACTTCTCTTTGGCGAAATAATTTTTATAATACTCCTAATTTGCATAAACTTTCGATCGACCGACATACGTTGGCAGATATTTTTGTGATTAAACGGCAATGTCGTTGAATGTGCATCGCGTTACCTCCCCGACCATATGACCGGAGAGGTAAACAGGAGCACGTGTTGGTGGCGTGACTACGAGTGACGGCGTGAGCTCTGGGGGTGGAGAGGAGGCAGAAGCAGAGGTGGAGGAAGAGAGGGTGATGGTGGTGGATGGGAAGGGTGACGAGGGTGGAAAATCAGTGTGAGCTGCCCGAGGGTAGGAGAGTTCTTTGCTTGCCGCCTCGGGAACACGGAGGGTCGGTGAGAGAGAGGGTTGGAGCAGTCGGAAGAGAGGGAGAGCGGTAAATTCTAGCCACTGAAAGTGGAAGCGAGATAGTCGGGGTTGGCCAAGCGAATCATTGTCGGTGGGAATAGACGCAGAGAGTTGAAAGCAGAAAATCCCAAAGGAAACACTTGACTCGCGAGATATCGTTTGGAGTTTGGTGCTTTGGAATCGACACAAAGAAAGCGAGGCGTTTTATCTTGACTAAATGATGCCGAATTTTATAGCGAGGCTTTGTTTTAAATTTTTTACATATTATGCGTAATATTGTAAAAAAAAAAAACGATAAATGTTCAATAATTTCTTACGACAAAAATTATATCATAAAAATATATTGAATATTTATCATTTTCTTTCTTTTAATCCATATTAGAGAGAGGAAGATGTTAATTATTTTATTGTCGCGATTAAACTATTAAAGGTTACTTATTATTATAAAGAAAAAAATCAATGAGAATTTTTTTATTGCAAATTAATTCGAAAGAATCACAATCAAAGGTCGCTAGAATTACTGTATTTGTTGCCGAGGTCAAGAAAATGAATTCCCTTCTTATATCTTTTTGCTCCTCTTTCTCTCTCTCTCTTTCCTTCTTTTCCTTTTCTCTCTTTCCTCTTATTCTCAACACCCTTGCTCTCGCTCTCGGCTTCCCCATTCAAGGCTTCCCCTTCACCCGGTTCAACCCCTGCCGACAATCCGGCGCACGATAACATTTCGTTCTACAACTTTACCCACTTCCAGCTCGCTTTACAGCCGTGCTATTCTGTTTTCCACCCGAGAATCTTCATCGATTATCGACTCGGAAATCATTTCGAGTAAGAAAGTTTTGCTGCAAACTCGGCGTGTCAAGTGTAAAGTGTTATCCATCGTTTCACACGCTACTATCTAACGATAATGATTACTTACTGCTTATGTAAATTGCGAATGCACAACGAAATTTCTTTATCTCTGTCGATTCTTTATGCATGTTACGGAAGAAAACCGAGCTCTTTATTTTCGCAAATATTTATTTGTCGGCGAAAGAAATTGCTAGAAAATGATACTACATTATATTGACTTATACTATTTGCATGAAATACATTAGTGACTTAACAAATTTTGTGGCGTAAAAAAGTAATGTTGCTTTGTTACTCCGAAATTTCTCCGTCGGCATATTTATGATTGGCCTCCGCAACATAGTAGAAAGAAAGCAATGTGTGCGCGAGCTCATTAATTCTAATAATTCATGAAGAAACACGCACGCACGTAATAGCTCGGAGCGGCTTACGATTTGACGGATAGAGAGTTGCCTCAGCCCTCGTATTTTTAAATGTCGGCTAAACTATATTCTGATATTTTAATAGACCTAATTTACATGTAAAACCACTTTCAAAATCATTCTGTCTCCAACATGCTACCAATGTTTTCTTTTGTAAAGGGGAGGAAAATTTAACTGATTTCTCTTTTAATAAGTAGGAATAATTAAACCATTTTAGAAGCAAGAACGTGCACTCGTTTGCAAATAATCGAAAGCATTTCTAGTGGAACAGAGTTAGTTAGCCTATAAGAATGAAAAAAAAAAGAGATCCAATGAACCGTGTAGCGTGTTTTTGGGGCCAGATGTTAATTCCGACGACTCAGCGTGAGCCACGAGAAGACGGTTTAGTACGTAAATACATCTTCAGCAGGGGGTGCCATTATAATGGGCATGTGCGGTTAAAGTTCTATTTGTGGTAATTCACGGAGTTTAATGCACTCGGAGCTCTGATTTAGCCAGCGAGAGCTGACACTTTTTTTTATCCGGCAAAACCTCAACGACACTGGCGCCGTAAAGTATAAAATATTCTTCCTGCGTCTTCGACGATACATCGCGCGCGGTTAGGCATTCTTCTCCCGCGTCGTGGTGCCAAGTTTTAGCGTAAAGTGACGCTTTTTATCAGTCTCGTTAGACCCGATGTCGAATCACGTGATTATCCTGAATATAATAAGGAAATAGCATTTTTAATTCACGTGACACGGATTAATAATAGACGTTCGTCATTGTGCCAGAATCTTTTCGCGCATACAATTCTATTTTCGCGCGCTGAACTCATTTCTGTGTACGGGATTAGCTTTCGCTTCGATTACCGTCTCGAAAAAGAATTTCACCGGAATAATGTAAAATGTTTGTAATAGCGGAATTCCGACGGGGGCGTAAAATATCACGTCTTGGATAACGCGTGTTGATGCCGAACCCCCTTCGGCGCCGATTTATGGGCACTCTCGCGCCCGACGATGCGCGCGTTACGCGCTCACGCACACGCTCTTACGACACACATACACTGAAACCGGAGCGTCAATCTCGACGCGAGGCGTTCGCACAGTCGCATTAACGGCGCGCTGTTCAGTTTAATCCTTGCGTTTCGTGACTCGGGACAAAGCCCCTCGGATTTCTGACAGAATGGTATCGCACGAAACGGCCATTACCTTAGCCGATATGCCTATGTACGTACGCGAGTTAAAGGTCGATGCGAATTAACCAACACGGATGCGGCCGGATTCTTTGTACGCTCGCCTTAATTATGCTCGCTCGTGCCGGTGAAGCGAAACTGCTATACAGAAGGGTAGCACGAAGCAGTTTAATCTATCGTACGCTTATTATATTGCATTTACTGCTCGATCGTAGCAAACTGGCGCGAGTATCCATCGGGTAATCCGAATCGACCATACACAAGCACGTTCATGTGCGCGCGCGCGAGTTCCTTTCTTACTTCTCTTTAGCATTAATACTTGGTTAGACGCCATAAAGCCACGATTATGCTTTGCCATTAGGGCGCCTGGTTGATTACGGGATCATGAAAAAAAAAAGACTCGGCAAGGACAATGTCGCGATGGGCGGTTGCCAACTGGTCCCGCTGGGATCTTTTTATTGGCACTGTTTTAAGTAGGAGGGTTACCCACGCACACACCACATTCTCTTCTATCATGTTATTCACCCTCTCGTTCATATCGATGAATTGAAGATCTTTCGGACTTTTTTTAAAAAAATAAATCTTATTTGTTGATCATTTCAAAATTAAAAGCTATGGGAAATTTATCAATAGTTTAGACTATTCAAATGACGCGATTGAAATGATTCTCTCTGCGTCACCGTTTCAAGAAACGAAATTAGAAATAACGCGCAATTCGCGGCTCGAACGAAAAGCTCTCGATGAATAGACTTGTACCAGGAAATCGAAAGCGTAGCATCGTCAGTGCTACGGAGAAACGGTCAGTGGTTCGTTGCATGCGTGGCCATATGGCGATTATCCGCGTTTAGTTATTTATAGCGACGACTTGAACATCGCACACGGAGAGCGTATACCCCAGACACGCAGCACCGCGATTTGTGCGTCGCGTCGCGGCGCGTCGGGCGCGAATTGGACCGGGCCTAGAATTCTAAAACTGCCGTCTTGACGGTTAGGAGTCGGCCTCGTAAATCGGCGACTGGCTTGAGAGAGAGAGGCTTCGGCTTCAGATGGTATATACACACCTCCATAGCCCGGAGCGGCGTCGTATCAAGAGGAGAATGTTGGCGGCTACATAGAAACTATCTGCTGGCCAGAGGCGCCCGGTTGTTTCTAAACCCACCTTATCTACTGGCCCCTATAATAAGCCGCGATCTGAGACCGTATATCCCCGCCCGCACATGCTCTAAGAGGTCCGCACACACGCACACACACTTACACATTCCCATCGCTTACTAGGTAGCTATCCGCGAACCCTGAACGCGTATATGCGGCTATACCACGAAGCGCTTGCAATTACAAGCTGGTCAACATATAATTATCCCCAATGACCATAAATTACTGGATTTTTATGCGCAATATTCTTAATTACCCTTTGAATTAACATCAATCAACCCCTTAATTGCACGCTGCCGCTGACGCTGCTTCCACGTCGTCGTCGTCGTCGTCGTCGTTGTCGTCGACGATGTCGCTTATAGAACTATAATGCGAAATGGTGCATTATAGCGACATGGATGCATGCCGCGGGCTAACAGCAAGACACGGAAGAAAGACACGGGCTGACTGACGTGAGAAGAAGTGAGAAAGAAGAATGTAAAGGTATATGACAAAATCAGGAAACGATGTCGCCCGAGGACACTCCTCCCGAGGGTGGATGACTGTGCCAGGCTTCGAAAACTTCCTCACACGGTATGAAAGGACGCATCGTATCAGTCTGTCGCGTCTGATCAGATGACAGCATCGTGCGTAACGCGCCTGTTTTAATTGCTTTCGGAGATCCTTGAGTGATTCTCATATCAATCGCCTTGGCGTATTAATCGCGCATCCTATTACATGGACTTTCACCATTTATTCAGCGAGTGATTACTACCGGAGAAGTCGCCGCTGAAAGAAGGTTGGCGATGAGAAGGGAAATCCATTTTGTCGTTCCGGAGAATAATTCGATCGTATGGGAGAAATCGAAAATTTTAAACAGAGTGGTCTGGACGGAACATAAAATATTGCCTGTACGTAGAATGCCCGATTTAATTTGTATGTCGAATATCTTGTAGAAGAACCCCTGAGGGTAGCCTCTTACCTTTTTCGAAAGATTTATGTGATCTCGATCGAATAACGCATTTTTCAAGGTCGCACGATGAAGGTACCAATTTTCAAACGGTCGGCTGTGGTGACGTTTGAACGATCGCGCTATAATCACTCGCGATATCTTCGTCCGGTTAAGAATTCCTCTTCTATTTCACAAATCACAAACCGTGAGGGCGATGCGATACGCTAATGAAACCGCACTCTCATTAAAGCATCCAAATCGACGATACTAATTGGCTAGCTTTCGGAATACCCGGCATTAGACCTCAGGACGCGATATAATAATCGCTGCGGACGAATTCGGTTTGGACAGCCGGTGGTTAAAGCGTCTAGTAATTTCACGGGCGCAGCCCTACAGCGATTAATATGATTCCGACGGAAATTAATGACTGCAAACGGAAAAAAGATAGGTTGCATACAGTCTTGCTCTGCGATGGCGCGTTCTTATAAAATGGGAAAAAAATGTTTAAAGATTGAATACTCTAAAGATTTTTTTTCTAGATACGTATGCGTATATAAGTTAAAATTTTATTTTGTCATAAAAATAAAAAATTTTCAAGTATAATTAATTCTAATGCATTCGCATAATATTAACGTCCTCGTCAAGATATATTAAACGCTTAAGGATAAAATTATCATATGACAGTTTTGTCTTCGCGACGGCATCAATGAGAATTAACCTACAAGCCATTTATCGGCAGCCACTCCTATGGCACAAAAATCGAATAATGCTTATTAATCAGCTTAATTAGCGGCAAAGCTCCTCTCGTTGCACGTTGCGTAAATTAATTCCTCGTAGCCGATGATCGATGCGATCTCTTCGCCTAGCTGCGGTTTCTGCATACTGAACTGATTTATTTTACCATTTTAATTGATGTGAGACAAATACGACTGTTAAAGTATAATAGTTTTGTCTTTTCATAATATTATATACATGTCATTGTTAATCTCGTGATAGAATAAGTAAAAAGTATATAAAAATAACTTTCATATTAAAAGTTTAGCATAAACCATCTTACTGTACATATTTAAAAATATCATATCCAATTAATGTATTTATGTAATTTTTATACGAAACACTAAGAGATCGTATTATCTGTGTCAGAAAAGAGAAAAAGATATTCTTTAGAAATCGCGAGATATTTATTGAATAGTAGACTCTCCTTTCTATCTTGAAATATTTATTCTACTGTTCAATAAATATCTCGCGATTTCTAAAGAATATCTTTTTTTTTAACTTCTTATTTAAAATTTTTCTTACTTAAAAATATAAATATATTGAAAAAATTAATTTATTTTCAAGTTTATATTATTTCAAATTTGTGAATGTTGAAGATGACTGTGCTTGCTCATGAATTGAAAGTCTAGCAGTAAAATAATATGAAAACAGGTGAACAATGTCAAGCAGATGCAGAAATAAATCTTGATAATTTTTCTCACTTCTTAGTTTGTGAAGTATGGTATAAATCACTTTAAGTTCAAAGCCACAGCAATCGGCGGCAGTCTGCGGCTTCGCGTAGGAAAAAAAAAAACGCGTGTTCCAGCCTCTCGCTCCCGTTCCATCATCTCTTGAGAAACTTTTGCAATTGTCGCTAAGCAGATGCCACATATCGCGGGCGCGTTAAGACACCCATATTTATAGGAAACAGGCGACATTAACACCAGAGTTTGCACTTGTGAGCGGTCTATTTGGTACCCAACAACCTAACGCTTTTATTATAAACACGCTGCCGTTTTAAAGCACAGCATCAAATATTTTTACGATGGCCATTATAAAACGCCTTTTATGAGGAACAAAGTAGCTCGCAGGCAGAAGGTGTTTTCTCGCCCTTTGACAATAATTTGTCCAGAATAACCGGCTCGTTTCACTCTCGGCCCCCCACGCCCGGGCTTCCGCTCGATGATCCATCCAGCCGTTCGTCATAGGCGCGCGGCTTTTAAAAAGTAAAGCGCTGGACTCGGGCCAGCGCAAAAATAGAAGCAGATGTTATTAGTTGCGTTCACCAAGTATACGACGGCCGTCGCGGCGCGACGAGGCAGGCGCGGTGGTGGAGGTGGCGGAGAGATGGTGGTAGAGAAACGAGAGACGAAGGCGAGCAGAAGGCGACGAGGGAACGGCCTGTCCAGACGGTAGTGTGATTTCATTGCCCTTGAATTCTTACTAACTGAACGCTTAGATAAAAATAATTAGGCGGATAAATGCGGGGTGGGGGAGGAGGGAGGAGATGACTGCGGGCGGTAGCGCGCGTTAGTCGCGGCAATTTTATTCTGAAACCTCCCTCGATGCCTCTCGCGTCGCTACGCCGCTTCCTTTCTCTATCTCTCATCCGATGCGATGCGCCAACCAAATGTTTTTGCTTTGAAGTTGGAAGATGAACGGGCCTCCTTCTAATTTCCAGTGTCTGCATTCTTAACAGCTGCACGCGCTACCGTTCGATATGGCTGATGCGGTACCGCGAGTCATGTCGCGCCGGTTTAATTAGCATCTCGCGTGTCATCTTCCCCCCTGGTCCTTGAAAAATCAAAAGTAATCCAAATTGATATCGATTTAACAAGCTTTCTCATTTTTTATCGAAAATTTCTTTGTCTTTTATTAAAGAAAAAAATCGTATATAGCTGCCTTGTTCCGTTTTAATAGTCATTAAGTTAAGCCAACGCACTTGTTGAAAAATACGTATAATTATATTGATTATTATATTTAATTATATTTCGAGATTATTTAATGAGAGAGAGCGAGAGAGAGAGAGAGAGAGAGAGCTCTTTTACGATTTTCTCAGATTCATAAAATAGCATTAAATCGAAAATGCGAGATCGTTATTAGGCACGACGCGACACAACCGTTTGAATCGAAACGCGCGAATTATATTCGCGCTATAATGGGATTGCGTCCTACCAGGCAGGAGCTGCGCGGCGGCGCGCCTGCTATTAGAACGGTCCTCCGAGAGTTTTGGTCGATTTGCAGATTACGAGTCCCCGGGATGCAAGGCTGACATGGCGGAGGGTTCGGCCGAGGAGGAACAGAGCAGTACTGCTGCGCCCGCTTCCCCGCCAGCTGATCTTCGCACTCTGAACACCCAATTGTCGCCGCCTTATCACCACCAGCCCCATCTCCAGCCTCGTCTTCAGCATCTGCAGCATTCCAACATGCTGGCGACCGCCGTACCGCCCCGGCACAGCCTCAGTATGCTGTCTCATCAGGTGAAAGCGGAGGCAGAGCTGGACGCCCCCTGCGATGTGCCATTGAATCTCAAGAGCGAGGTAAGCGCAGGAATTCCTCTCGTCGATTATTGATGTTGGGAATCGGCTAACTGCTTTTGATTGTTCATTTTCGATGTGTTTTGCTCGCCGAGCGCTTACGCTTGGACGAAAATCGCAACACATTGCATGACAAGCATTAACAATTACTGCTGCAAAAACGAACGTATAGTCTCTGGAAAATTATTTCGGCGTAATGTATATATTTTAGCTGCTTGATGTAGCAAGTAGTTAATTACTATGTAAGATACCGACGGCCTATTTCTGTCGGTTAGCATTCTTAGGTGATTGCTCGACCTATGCTTTGATTGAACCGATCGAGATATCGCTACAGCAGTGCTAAAGCATACAGCGATCGAAATGGTCATTACACTCGTTATTAACGGTTTTGTGTGTCAATGACAACCAATTGTATGGTTAAGTAGCTGCCATGACGCATCTCAACTTAAATCGGCCAATGATCTTTCTGACCTGTATAAGATTAACGTACAAAATAAAACGTACAAAATAAAACGTACTCGAATGACTCCCACAAAGATGATACAGTCAGTGTACGCGATTTCGTTCGTTAACGTGTGTTGTATTTTTTAAAACGTAACAAAATCTTTTTTTTAGAGAATTTGATCTGGTAATATCAGACGTTAAACCAATGGCAGTTTTGTATATCGATTTATGTCAAGAGATTATGTAACATTCGCTAATATCCGGGGGAACCAAAATTCTCGTGAATAGAATTTAATTCTATAGAATTATATAATGCACAATTTATACGTAGTGTATAAAGTAGATTCTTGTCATGATCACGATAGTATATCTAAATATCAAATAATTATTTGAAAAGAAAGTCGTTTGTCTGGTTTCTTACGCAATCTTGAGTGCTATATTTTGTAGTATTAAAATGATTGCAAACTAACAGAGATAAAAATATAATTTATATGTGAATGACAGGAAACTAATCATCATATTAAGCGATCGATCGCCTGCTAACGTAACTTGTTTCTCGTTTGCGAGATATTGAAACAAAGTAGCAAAAACTTATGTGGATAAATTGAAAAGATGAAATATCGAAATTTCTAATAGTGTGCATTTTTTAAAGTATATTATATACACAAATTTTCCAACTATAGAATAAAATAATTTTTGTTGACTCTCTTTTCAATCAAATCTGTCTGACCAGTAATCTTCGGTATTAAAAGTAATTTGAATGTTAATCGCAAACAAATCGCATTTTATAAATACTATCACTAACATTACATGAATTTATCGATATTAATGTAAAACTTACTCGTGCGGAGAAATACGGCGATGAGATTTATATAAAAATTAGGAAAGACTTTTTCGATCGGGAGATGCGGACAAGCGGAGCGAAAACTCATTAATGAATGACAAATCGGTCGTTAATTATTTCTCGTGTAGTGAAATTAGTTGTAAGCAACGGTAGTTGTGAGTCGTTAGAACGAGGCGGTAAAGTATTATGAGGAAATCCCTGACTTCTCCAGCTGTGCGATCGTAAAGCGGAAAATATTTGCACGTAGCTTATATGTACCCGCTTCAATGAACGGTGACCAGTTTTGTCGATGCTTGCACATCGGACTAGCCAGTAGGGAAACTTTAGCAAACAAGCGTCCGGGGATTACTAGTCGTCAAACGTGTCTACTTTCCTTTGGGACAATTAACTCTCACTTATCGACTTTCTACAGAGTCGTCTCTCGTTAGTTTTAAAAATGGAATGTAAATGTAATCTATAAGCCAATACCATTCATCCAGAGATATCATAGCGAATATAAAAGTAATCTGTAAGTCTGTCGTAAATCCACGTTACAGCAAATTTCTAGCGTCACTACACAAACCGCTTTGTTAATAATGATATAATTAAGTCACGTTGCGTTGATCCGTCACTTTACGATCTTAATTGCCACAATACAAGCCGCATGATATTCTTAAACGTAAAGAATTACACTCTACGAAGAATTCGACAATGATGCCAATTAAGCGACAGAGGAGAACAACCGCGACACACTAGACACGACGACAGCGCGCCTCGACTAGTGTCTCAAAAACGGCAGTCTCATCCGTTTAGAGCTCGTTGTCCCTGTCCATCCATTACGCTATTATCCCGTCGGCAAACACGGTATCCATGCCGGACTCCACGCACGGACTTAATGCCCGGCTCGTATCTGAGAACGGAGCGTGCAATTTACGCGCAAAAGAAGGAGAATGTTTCATTCGCTCCCGGCAAAAAGAAACATCCCACAGGTGCACGTAACAACAGGACGGATAATAATGCCGTCCGCACTTCCGTGATAAAATACGCGGCGACGAAAAGGAGGAATTTCCTGACGCGATCGATCATCATCGTCCAGTTTTTTACGCGTAAAAAAATTCCCCCGCGACCGTCGACGTAGCGACATTGTTAATTTTCTCGATCGGGAACATTGAGAATAAATCCCGTACACTTTACGGAATCGATCGATGAACGAAGACGCGCGAGAGTGTTATATCAGCGGAATAATTTATCCGCGATTTCATCTCATTCGCAGTAGAGTTTCACAGTCGCTCGAACTTCTGTTCGACAATCATAAATTATTAGACCTTTGAACGCGGTATTCTTAACGACCCCCTCAGTGCCATTAGCCGTTCCTCTTAATTGCGGAATATCTCTCTTTCTAGAGCAGAATAATGGATATTCAGCGGCGCTAATAAGTACAAAGATATAAAGAACAAACAGAGATTTTGTGAGGTGCACAAGGTCGTCCGCACACTCAATTAGACATTAGCTAAAGGATTCGTAAAGAACTGCGCGCACATATTATCAGCTTGAAATTTTTTCGCGAAGTAAAGTATTTAAATGACCAATAAAGACAAACGCTCTACAAGTACGGAAATGCGTAATGTAAAATATAGGTAATGTAAAAATACGAAACGAATACATCGCGCAATATTAGAGAAGCGCAAACTCGAAACGGATCGAGCACCCTTTGCATTCGCAAAGACCATAGTAATGTGCATATATATGCAAATATTCGCGTATCTCACAGACACATCTGCGGACCGGAAACCGTTAAACGCTCGACGGATGCATCGTCACGAATATTCCTCCACTCGTGGTCCCGAAGATTTCACCGGTCACACGATAGAAGCCGCTAAACCATCTACAGGCTTTGCCGCAGAAGCAGCGACCCTATCCAGACCCTCTCGAATCCGAAGACGCAAATTTCACGTAGCTGAATCCGGCGCGTTGACCGTCCGATGGATCGATACGCCGTAAGGCGCATTCCAGCTTGATGGCCACCAGTCCCGATCGTAAATGCATCTGTCAAGAAAGTGATTGAAGGTAAACGATTCAGGGGAGTCGCGAACACCCAAACGGATCGGATCTTATTACCTCGGTAGCTCATTTCACCGAGTCAATTGCATTTCGATCGGATTTCACAATTATTATGATTATTGTTGAGCGAAACCCTCCTCTCGCACAGGTCTCTGCGGCTGATTAGAATCCGGCGAGAAGCAGTCAACTTTTGCCTCGTACCTTGATGGGTCGTAAAAAATCTGGTTATCGTGTCGCATGATTTTATTTATACATACAATATATAATGATATTCGCTGGCTGCATGGAATATAGCTGGAATATAGGCTGTTATAGAAAATATCAGTGCCACGAGAGTCACTCGACGATTCTATTCTTTCCGCATTTCCGATTGCAGAGAGGATAATTTGAGAGATAATTCTTGCATAAACAAATTGTCCTTACTACGCGATTATGATTTAACGCGGACGACCAGTGCGGATAGTAACCTATGTTCAATCGCATCAGCGATCCAAGAACGAGGAGACTCGCACAGTCGCGCTTTCGTAAAAAAAAAAATCCACAGGTTTATGACGCATTATTATACTTGCCGGTCGCAAAAGATTTAGCTAATAAAAACGTACGTTTGACGGGCGATCGTCCGTAAAGCAACGCGGTCAGAACGACGAACGTGGAAATGGGTGGCAAAAAGAAGAATGAAAAAAAGTGGAAGAAGTAAAAAGAATAAAACGCCGAGATATTCTATCGATGGTCGTCTATTTCTCTCACATGATATTCGCGGAGTGATGGAATGTTTATCAATAGATTAATCTCGGAGATCGGCGGGTGGTTCCGCGTCGTCGCCGGGCAGGCTCCTCGATTGCGATTAAACATAAAAGTATTATTTCAATCTGGCCCCTCCGCGCGCGCCGGCCATACATTCTCTCGGTGTGTATGTCATCCCCGTCGGCAGTGTCGGCACATACGCACACTGACGCGCCACGTGTGTGTGTATATGTGTGTGTGTGTGTGCGCGCGCGCGCACTTACTCGCGCGACCGATAGATCGGGCATTTTTCCATTAGATTGGAACTTGATTAAATTGAAAATCTGTCAATTTAGGAAAAAGCATCCGACAGCTTATATTGACGGTGGACATTATACGCGGTGGCCAACGAGGCAGAACTCGTTGGCCTGACAACTAGCGGAGATATAAAACCCATCGTCGCGACGATGGACCCGGGATGCGCGCCGGGCTGTTTACTTTTTGCTTTCTTTTGCGCCCTTGTAAAATTAATTGCCGGACGCTCTTTGAGGGTGACGCTCGCTTTCGTCGTTCTACCGATCGTAGAAATTTGCTCACGGTGTCATTCGTTCAATCTCCATCCTGATATGATTCCGACGCAGCACCCCTCCGTGTCCTTCCCTCACTCACCCCTCCTTGCGCCAATTCCATCACGATATAGTCGCTGACGAGTTTTTGTAACGAACACATTTATCGTGCACACTTTTAAAGGAATAATGTGGCTTTAGCAGATTTAATTCACTCGAATTTGCCGTCCGTATCAGGCGATCGGACGAGTAATATCTCTACGTTGAAGGAGGAAGGGCGTTTCTTTCGGTCGTTTGACAAGCATTAAATGACCCACATACTTAATCATCCACACTTGAAACACATGTTACGTCCACCGTTCGGTCAACACTAATTTAATTGCGGT